GTATTAACAGTATTTCTAGTTCGCGCGCGCGGGGCGGCCCCTGGGGGTCCCCCGGCGAAAAGTACCCCGACCAACGCCCGGTCGCCGCCCGACCGCCGCCCGACCGCCGCCCGACCAAGTCTACTCAGAGATGGTTTTCCTTCTGGGTGCGGCCTCTCAGGCTCCCCAGAGCGCGCTCAGAGTGCCCCAAGAGGCCCCCAAGACTGCCCAAGAGGCCCCCGAGACGCCCAAAGAGCGCTCGAAGACGCCGAAGATGACCCCAAGACGGCCCAAAAGGCCCCCAAGACAGCCCAAGAGGCCTCCAAGACGCCCCAAGAGCCTTCCAAGAGGCCTCCGAAGAGAGCCCCAAGAGGCCAAAATCGTTGATTTTCATTGGTTTTTTCGATGTTTTTTGTGTTCTGGCTTTTTCGGCTTCCGGACGCTCCAAGACGGCCCAAGAGGCCCCCAAGACCGCTCCAAGACGGCCCACGAAGCTCCCAAGACGGCGCCGAAACGACCCAAGAGAGCCCTCAAGACGGCCCAAGTGCCGCCCAAGACGGACCAAGAGGCCCCAAGACGGGCCCAAGAGGGACTCAGGAGGGATACCGAGAACTCAAAAATGGAGCCCTCCGTCCCAGAAGGCGCCCAGGAGGTCCCAAAGAGGCCCCAAGAGGCCTCCAAGAGGCCCCAAGATGTCGCCAAGAGGCCCCAGGAGACTCCCAGGAGGCCCAAAAGAAGCCCCAGAAGGCTTCAAACATGTCTCCCAGGCGCCCCCGAACGGCCTCTCAACAGACCCCAAGAGGCCCCCCAAAGAAGCATCTTGACGACGACTCTATTTCGCCCCATCGAGAGACGACCCCCAGGGAACTGCTTCACCATCAAAACTCCCCATGCAACGCGTCCGAACGACACCCGCCCCCAAGAGCGCAACATGGGCAACGAACACACAGACAAAAACCAGCGATGCCATATCACGGGCCGGCGGAATGAGCGAAGCGATTCAATAACAAGCACTATGTGCGAACCACAGCGACCCGTCGGAGAGCTGTAGCACCAAACGCCACCGGAGGTAGCCAGTGCCGATCGCGTAAGCGAACATCATGGGGCTGCACCGCCGACGCCGCCGCGCTAGCTGCCGAAGCCGCCCACGCCGCCGCGCCGCAAGGTGAAGGGTTGGAGCCGCTGCCCTCGCCGCCTCCGCAGCCTCTGCCAGTTGCATCCTGTCCGTGTCTGTCCGCGCTGCTGCTGCTGCAGTGGCGGCCTTGTCTAATGAAGGGTGCTGGACAACAGAGAAGGCCTGCACAATGAGAGGGGCGCGTCTATAACCAAGGAGCTTGTTCAGACTTCAGCTTGGCACGGGGGTTTGCCTCACAGAGGGTGCTGCGCAACAGAGGGTGCTATTCAGGAGGAGGAGCACGTGTAGTATCACATGACATGTTTGTTTAATCGGCTTGAGGAAGGGTTCTCCTAGCAATGCGTGGTGTGAAGCGGCAGGGGCCTGTGTAAGGAACAATGGCGCGCCTAGCACTAAGAAGTTGTTGCTTTAATCAGCGTGTGGGGAGGCCTTGTCCAATAGGGGACGCTGTGCAGCAGAGGGGGTCTGTGAAGGAGGAGCGGCACGTCTAGCACCAAGGGGTTTCGGTTATACTCAGCCTCTGCACGGGGCCTTGTCCTATAGTGGGTGTTGTGCAGGAGGGAGGGCACGTCTAGATCAAAGCAGATACTGTTTAATCAGCTCTTTGTCCAACGGAGTGTGATGTGCAGCAGAGGGGGCCTGTGAATGTGGATCGGCACGTCTAGCACCAAGGAATTGTTTGAATCAATGTTCTTGGAGTCCTTGTCTGATGTATGAATCCGTGCGCAAGCAGGGGAATAGAGGGGGCCAGCGTAGTAAGAAGGGCACGTCTACCACAGGGGAGTTGTGTTTAAGCAGCTTCGGAAGGGGCCTATCAAATAGAGTGTACTGCGCAACACAGCGGGCCTGTAGAGGGAGAGGGACACATCTAGCACCAAGGGGCTTTTTTAACGGGGAAAGGCCTTGTCTCATAGAGGGTGGTGTGCAGATGGAAAGACACGCATATTTTCGATGGAGCGTGTTCAATCAGCTTTGGGAGAGGCTTGCCCAGCAGAGAGTGCTGCAGCAGAGGGGGCCTGTGTCGGAGGATGGGCGCGTCTAGCACCAAGGAGTTCCTTGTAATCAGAAGGGGGAGGGCCCTGGTCCAATAGAGGGTGCTGTGCCGTGGGAGAGGCACGTCTAGTACCCAGGACTTGATTGAATCAACTGGGGGAGTGGCCTTGTCTAACAGAGGGCGCCGTGTAGGATTAAGAGCATGTGAAGGGGGAGGACACGTCTAGCACCAAGAAATGTGTGCGTGTGTGTTTTACTCGGCTTCGGAGAGCGCCTTGTCCAATAGAGGGTGCTGTGCACGGAAGGGGCACGTCTAGTACCAAAGGGATTTGGGAAACAGCTTGAGGTGGGGCTTGCCTAGCAGAAGGTGCTGTGCAGCAGAGGGGGCCTGCGTAGGAGATGTGGCGCGTCTAGCACCACCAAGTTTTTTCTATCATCTTGGGAAGGGTCCTTGTCTAACCGAGGCGGGTACTGCGCAGGAGAAAGGGCACGTCTAGCGCCGAGGAGTTCTTTTGCACCAGCTTGGGGAAAGGCCTTGCCTAAGAGAGGGCACAATGCAGCAGAGTGGCCCGGTGAAGGGGGAGGGGCACGTCTAGCACCAAGGATTTGTTCGAATCAACTCGGGGAGGGGACTGGTCTGATACAGGGGGCGAGTGTAGGAGCAGGGGCACGTCAAGCAAATACCAAAAGGGTTTTTGAAACAGCTTCGGGAGGGGCTTGCCTAGCAGAGAATTGGGTGCAAAAAGAGGGGGCCGGTGTAGAAGGAGGAGGGGGTGGAGGCGTCTAGCACCAATCAGTTTGTTTTGGCCAGCTTTGGGAGGGGCCATGTCTAATTGAGGGTGCTGCGCAGCAGCGGGGGGAGTGGCACATCTAGCACCAAGGAGTTTGACTCATCAACTTGGGGAGGGGCCTTGCCTAACAGAGGGCGCTGTGCAGCAGAGGTGGCCTGTGTAGGGGGGAGGAGCACGTCTAGCACCACAGAGTCAGTGTTGGGAGGGGCCTTGTCCAATGGATGGTGCTTCGCAGGAGAGGGAGCGGGACCAAGAACCTGTCTCAGTCAGCTTGGGGAGGGGCCTGGTCTAAGACAACGCCAGACTACGAGACAGCTTCGGGAACCTGCAGTTGAACTGACGCCGCCCCTGAGAGGCTGTTGGAAATGGGAAGGGTCCTGCACGGGTCTGGGAGAGGGCGCTGACAGCGTCATGGGTTTAACCCCAGCAAACGAGGCTCCAGCTCGAGACGTTCTGGCATCTTACTCGACAGCGAGGCTCCCGCCCGAGACTTCCTCCTTGCAACAACGGCGGCAACCGTTCCAATAGCCGTCCAAGAACTGTCCGGGTGCTGCTGGGACCCCCCAAATGAGAAGACATGAGTTTGACACGCGTGTGTCAGAACTCTGAAGCGAGCCTGAGCAAAAATATCATAGGACATACTCGAAGCAACCGAGTGGTAACACATCCCGAGAGAGACTGGCCACCAACAACAATGTGGGCGCCTGCATGTCCACCTCATCCTTGATGTCATACTCCCACCTCCTTTCCCTGCTCATCATCCCCATCACCATCCTTCTCGTCTACTCTGAGGCCTCAGCGCGGTTCACGACTTCTCTTCCTTCTGATCGCCCTCCTCCCTGATGTTGCTTCTGGTGCTCCTCCTCATCCTCCTCCCTCCTCATATTCCCCCTCTTCTTCCTCTCTCTCTTTGTTCTCATTCGAGAGGGCCGCTGTGCCTCCTTTCTGGCCTCACGGCGAATTGCCACACGCACGTCACCACAGCAACTCGTCGGATGCATCCAAATGCACCTGGATTTATGTCGGGCGTGTCCCCCTGGAGGCGGATTTTGGACGAAACAAAAATACACAAACAAAATTCTTCAAAAGTGGTCCAACAATCCGCCGATCTGGAATGTGAGTTTCTGAGTGCGTGGACTTGAGCTCGCTCACGCTTCGCTCTGCAAGGGGGAGGGGGGACGCCATTTCCGACGCCATTCAATGCTTGGGAGCCGGGGGGGGTCGCTGCTCGGGAGCCGTGGACATGGGGGGGGAGGGTGGAACGCCATTCCCGTCGCCATTCAGTGCACGGGAGCCGGGGGGGGTTCGCTGCTCGGGAGCCGTGGACACGGGGGGCCCTGGGTAGACCCCGACATCAAAAAATTGAAACCTGGACTTTTGAAAGTCCAAGTTTTCGGATTCAAACCCCCTCCTCCTCCTCCTCCTCCTCCTCCTCCTCCTCCTCGGTTCGGTATGGTAGCCTCGGAAACTGTTTCGGAAGCCGTGTCGGAACAATTTCAGAATCTCTTTCGGAGGCTATTTCGGAAGCCGTTTCGGAGGCTGTCTCGGAGGCTGTTTCGGAAACTGTTTCGGAACCGTTTTGGAACTAGTTCGGAACCGCTTCGGAGGCTGTTTGGAAACCGTTTCGGATGCCGTTTCGGAGCTGCTTCGGAACCGTTTCGGACATGTTTCGGAGCGGTTTCGGAATATCTTTCGGAGGCGGTTTGGGAAGCTGTTTTGGAGGCTGCTTTGCAGTCGTTTCGGTTTGGGGCCTCTTGGGGGCCTCTTGGCGGGTCGTTTGGGGGCCTCTTTGGCTCTTGGAGGCTTCTTGGGTCGTTTTGAAGCCTCTTGAAGGCCTGGAGAGAAAAGGAGGGGAGGAGAGAAAAGGGGGAGAGGAGAGAAAAGGAGGAGAGGAGCGAAACGGAGGAGAGCAGAGCAAAGGAGGAGAGGAGAGAAAAGGAGGAGAGGAGCGAAAAGGAGGAGAGGAACAGAAATGAGGAGAGGAGAGAAACGGAGGAGAGGAGAGAAAAGGAGGAGAGGAGAGAAAAGGATGAGAGAAGAGAAACGAAGGAGAGGAGAGAAAAGGAGGAAAGGAGAGAAAGGAAGAGACTGAAATCCGGAAGTTAGATCGGTAATCTCCGGAAATTACCGATCTGGACCTCCGGATTCCACTGGTTCTCCTCCTGGGGCATCCTGGGGTCTCTGCCTCCTGGTTTCTCTTGCCGTGGTTGTGCTGTGGTTGTGCTGTGGTTTTGCTGTGGTTCGCTGTGGGTTGCTGTGAGTATTCTGTGAGTTTGTTGTGTTGTTGCTGTGGCTTTGTCTGCTGTGGTTTGCCGTGGCTTTGCTGTGATTTTGTTGTGGTTTCCAGAATGGTTTCCTTTGGTTTTGCTGTGGTTCTGCTGCGTCGTAGGCGTCGCCGTCGGTGTCGTCCTCATCGGCGTCGTCGGCTTCAGCTTCGGCGTCGTCAGCGCCGCACTACTACGACTACCACCGCTGCTACTACTACTACTACTACTACTACTATTACTACTACTACTACTATTACTACTACTACTACTACTACTACTACTACTACTACTACTACTACTACTACTACTACTGCTACTACAACTACTACTACTACTACTACTACTACTACTACTACTACTACTACTACTACTACTACTACTACTACTACTACTACTACTAGTACTACTACTACTAGTACTACTACTACTACTACTACTACTACTACTACGACTACTACTACTACGGCTACTACTACTACTACTACTACTACTACTACTACTACTACTACTACTCCTACCACCACTACTACTACGACTACTGCAGTATTACTAATATTATATTAGTACTATTACTACAGTATTACGACTACGACTACGACTACGACTCCTACGACTACTACTACCACTACTACGACTACTACTACTACTACTGCTACTACTACTACTACTACTACTACTACTACTACTACTGCTGCTACGCATACTAGTACCGCTGCTACTACTAATACTACTGCTACTACAGCGGCTTCTACTACTACGACACCTACTACTACCACTACTATGGCGACGACTACTACTACTGCTAGTACTACTACTATTACTACTACAAGTGCTACTACTACTACTACGACTACTACTACTACTATTATCACTACTACTGTTACTACTACTACTACTACTACTACTACTACTACTACTACTACTACTACTACTACTCCTACTACTACTACTACTACTACTACTACTACTACGGCTACTACTACTACCACCACCACCACCACCACCACACCACTACTACTACTACTACTACTATACTACTACTACTACACTACTACTGCTACTGCTACACTACTACTACTACTACCACCACCACCACCACCACCAACCAACCACCACTACTAACTACTACTACTGCTGCTAACTACTAACTACTACTACTACTAACTAGTACTAGTACTAGTACTAGTAACTAATACTACTACTACTACACTAATAATAATACTATTATTACTACTTACTACTACTACTACGACTATAACTACTACTACTACTACTACTACTACTACTACTACTACTACTACTACTACTACTACTACTACTACTACTACTAACTACTACTACTACTACTACTACTACTACTACTACTACTACTACTAACTACTACTACTACTACTACTACTACTACTACTACTACTACTACTACTAATACTACTACTACGTCTTAATGGAAACTGGCTGGACCACCTCAGGCGAGGGAGTCTCTGAGCCCAAAGTTGCGATGGTTTTTCCAGCCAAGGAGCCAGAGAGGCCAAGAGGAGGAGAGGAGAGGGAGGAGAGGAAGGAAGACAGCGGAGGAATCGTCGTTTTGATCATTTGTTTTGTAGCTTCGGCCAGCTTCCGCCGTGAGGTTCCACCTCCTGCTTCCGCCAGTCCGTTTAACTTCCGCCTGTCTCCGCAGCGACCTTCCGAATGCTTCCGCCGCGGTGTGTCTGCTCCCGCCCGCCTCCATACAGTCGGGGCCCTGGAGAAGGAACCGTTTTCGTTGGGGAGGGGCTCGGTGTTCCTTGATTGTTTCACATCCTGCCTCAGGTTTTCCTTATTTTTTCGATCGGAAATCGAAGTTTAACTCATGGAAAAAAGGGGCCTCGTTCCTTATTTTGGGTTCCTTAGGTCAAGCCCCCGACTGTACGCGGTATTTGCAGGGCGTGGCACTGCTATGGAATCGTATGATATGGCATCGCGCTGGTACGTGGCAGTGGTATGACCTCCCTATGGCAATGTGTTGGGCATGGCACTTCTGGCATAGGCGCGGGGCCATTGGGGCAAGGCGCCACCGAGGGCCATATGAGACCGCGGAAATTTCAGCATCTGCGGCCGACTCCCAGAACAAGGCCACTGGGGTTGGAGACCGTGGGAGGCCAGTGGGTCCCATTCGAAGCAAAATAATGCGTGGCCGTGCATGCGCAATTCTACATACATGCGATGTGTTTGCATAATTCCACCTTTTGTGCAACGAGTTGCCATTTGGGCCCCGACCCCGCCAAAAAAACAAATTGGCGCGCCCCGGAAAAAAAACAAAGGGGCTCAAGGTCCGAGGAAGAAAAGCAGACATCCTCGGCGATGGGGTTCGGGAGCAAAATGGCCCGCAACCCAGTGTTTCGGAGCCGTTTCGGAATCGTTTCGACAACCCTTTCGAAACCGTTTCGGAAACCATTTCGGAAGCCGTTTCAGAAGCCGTTTCGGAGCTGTTTCGGAAGCCATTAAGGATCAATTTCGGAAATCGTTTCGGAAGCCGTTTCGGAAGCCGTGTCGGAAGCCGTTTCGGAGCCGTTTCGGAAGCTGTTTAAGAAGCCATTTCGAAAGCCGTTTCGGAAGCCGTTTCGGAGCCAGTTCGGAGCCGGTTCGGAAGCCTTTTCGGAACTGTTTCGGAAGACATTTCGGAAGCCGTTCCGGAAGCCGTTTCGGAAACCGTGTCGGAAATTGTTTCGGAAACCGTGTCGGAAACTGCTTCGGAAACCGTGCTGGAAACCATGTGGGAGACTGTTTCGGAAACTGAGCGGGAAACCGTTTCGGAACTGTTTCGGAAGCCGTTTCGAAGGACGTGTCGGAAGCCGTGTCGGAATCCGTTTCGGAGGTCGTTTCGGAGGCAATTTCAAAGGCCTTTGGGAGGTTTTGTCGGAGGCCGTTTCGGAGCCTTTTGGGAAGCCGTTTCGGAGCCTTTTGGGAGGCCGTTGCGGAGCCTTTTGGGAAGCCGTTTCGGAGCCTTTTGGGAGGCCGTTTCGGATGTCGTTTCGGATGCCATTTCGGGGGTCGTTTCGGATGTCGTTTCGGAAGTCGTTTCGGAGGTCGTTTTTGAGGCCGTTTCAGAAGTCGTTTTTGAGGTCTCTCCTCTCCTCCTCTCCTCTCTCCTCTCCTCTCTCCTCTCTCTCTCCTCTCCTCTCTCTTCTCTCCTCTCGCCTCGCCTCTCGCCTCTCCTCTCTCCTCTCCTCTCTCCTCTCCTCTCTCCACTCCTCTCTCCTCTCCTACCTCCTCTCCTCTCTCCTCTCTACTCTCTTCTCTCCTCTCCTCACTCTCCACTCCTGTCTCCTCTCCTCTCTCCTCTCCAATCTCCTCTCCTCTCTCCTCACTACTCTCCTCTCTCCTCTCCTCTCTCCTCTCCAGTGCTCTCCTGCCCCTACTAAAAACCCGGACTTATAAAAGTCTGGGTGTTTCATTACAAATCCTCCCAAAACCCAGACTTTTGAAAGTCCGGGTTTTGATTTTTTGATTTCTGGGATTTTCCGGGGGGACACCATTCCCGACGCCATTCAGTGCTCGGTAGCTGGGGGGGGTTCAGCCGTGGACAGGGGGGGGGTGCTCGGGACCCGGGGAGGGGTTCGCTGCTCGGGAGCCGTAGACGGGGGGAAGGGGGGACGCCATTCCCGACGCCATACACGGTCGTCCATTCCCAGTACCCTGAGAATTCATAACATCAGCATCAACACCACCGTCAGCATTATCAGCTATCATCACCACAATCACCATCACCAGCATTACAATCCTGATTATCGTCGTCGTCATCGCCAGCTTCATGCTCTTCACCATGGCCATTACCGTGATAAACATCATCAGAATCATCATTTTCATCACTACTATCATCACAATCAGCTTCAGCTTCAGCCTCAGCCTCAGCATCTGTATGACCATCAGCATCAACATACACATCAACATCAACATCAACATCATCATCATCAACATCATCATCATCATCATCATCATCAGCATCATCATCACCATCACCATCATCATCACCAACATCAACATCAACATCATCATCATCATCATCATCATCATCATCATCATCATCATCATCATCATCATCATCATCACCATCACCATCATCATCATCATCAGCATCAGCATCAGCATCAGCATCATTATCCGGAGCGCCAAGGATCGGCGGCACTGGCCGGAGGCCAGCACAACAATCAAACAATCGTCCCTGGATAGTTTTTTGGACCGTGTCTGAATATTCCTCCTGTGGTGGGACAGGCCCGACTTGAATCTGGATGCATCTGGGGCCAGCCGTCCGCGGCCGAAGGCCCGGCGTCAGGGGCCCGGGGCCCGGGCACGACGGCTCGTCCATGGGCCCACCTATACAGCCGACCACCTGCACGAGTGATGGTTCTGCTGATGATGCGGTGGAGGAGGGCAATGAGGAGGAAGGGGGGGAGGAGGAGGATGGGTGGGCGGGTGGGCCCTCGTCCTCGATCTTCCCTTCTCCTTACCCTCCTCATGCCCCTCCTCTTCCTCCACCTTTCCCCCCTCCTGGAGGAGAAAGGGTAACAGGACGATGGCGACGACGAAATGTGCCGACGAGGACGAAGGCGACGCGCTCCGTGGCCTGCTGGTGCAAATCCGCCTCCAATTCCTCCTCCTGATCTTCCTCCCGCTTCTTCCTTCTTCTCCTCTTCTTCCTCCTGCTCCTCCTCCTGCCTCCTGTTTCCTCCTTCTCCTGCCTCCTGCTCCCTTCCACTCTGACCTGCTGGGAAGGCCTTCGTGGCCAAAATTCCCCCGCCCCCCCCCCCCCCGCGCCCCTCCGCACGCGCACGGGCGGGTTCCGGTTGTCCGGGTCTCCGAGCTCCAGGAAGTCTTCGAACCAGTACCCTGCACGAGGGGGGGATGACGGAGAGGGGTGCGGCCGGGGAGGGGGATGAGGGAGGAAGGGGGAGGAGATCTGGAGGGCCTCTTGGATTTATCTTCCGGGTTGGAACATTGCCAACACAACTAGATGCTAACCTCACAATCCTTCAAACACCAAATGAAAATCAATATTTGCGCTGCCCCCCGAAGACCTCCTGGACGCCTTTATGTTCGACCTCTTGGGGGTATCCTGAGGCACTTGCTTGAACCGCACTTGCTTGAGGCATTGAGACTTGCCGCCCGCCCAACTCCTCAACCCGACGGGCCGCAGCGTCGACGACAAGAAAGTCCATGTTGACGAGCAGGCGTCCCCGCGCGATGTGCGCCCCGACGAGGAGAAGCTACATGTTGGCGGTAAAAACGTTCACGTTGCGGTGTTTTTTACAGGTAGGAAGGGGGGGTCCCGCGTAGGGTTGGCCAGGCGTCCGCGCGCGACGTGCGTCGCGTCCCATTCCTGCTACACTTTCGCAGCGTAGACGACGAGAAAGTCCATGTTGACGATAAAGAAACGTTGACCTTGTATGATTTTTGATGGGTAGGACGCGACCGCCTGCTTAGAGTTACCCAAGCGATGTTTATTCCGTCCCATTCCTGCTGCACTTGTCGCAACTCGACGACATGTTGGCGAGGGAAAGCAGTGTTGTTTTTTTGAGAATTAGGGCGGCGGGGTTGCTATCGGCCGGCTAGGTGGGGATGTGGGGGTATTTAATCATAAGAAGTAAAGATTGTCACCGAGGACAGCCCTTTGGAGCCACCACGGCCCCCCAAATAGCCGCCGAATTCCGAAGGAGTTGCGCGACAATTTTTCCTTGTTTGAAAGCATGCAGTGCTGGGCGCGTAGGCCAGCCTGTAATGCCCCCTGACGAGCATCCATGCTGAACCAAACATTACCGCGGCCGTCGCCATCATCACCGCCAAAACCACAAGATTTCAAATGTTACAATCATCGTCGGGCTGAGGTCAGGTCAGTCTGCGTCGCCGCGCATCGACTCTTTACCGAAGCTGAGCGCCGCGAGCTCCCAACAGCATTCGTCGACAGCTGTCAAGAGCAAAACCGCCGAAATGGTCCTTGAAAGGGCCGCCAGGAGAGCCGCCGAAAAGGCCGCCGAAATCGTCGCCGAAATCGCCGCCGAAATTGCCGCCGAAATTGCCGCCGAAATTGCCGCCGAAATCGCCGCCGAAATTGCCGCCGAAATTGCCGCCGAACTTGCCGCCGAAATTGCCGCCGAAATTGCCGCCGAAATGATTGCGAACTCCGCCAAAATAGCCGCCGGAATTCAGCCGCCGAAATCGCCGCCGAAATTCAGCCGCCGAAATTTTGATTGCCCCGTCGCAAGCGAAATCGCTGTTCCAGTAAGCGCGATGACGCCGCAGACACAAGCATAGAGTCACAGCCAAGGTCAAATTCGGTCTTTTCTCGGCGGAACCATCTGGAATTTCGGCGGCAATTTCGGCGGCAATTTCGGCGGCAATTTCGGCGGCAATTTCGGCGGCGATTTCGGCGGCAATTTCGGCGGCAATTTCGGCGGCAATTCTGGCGGCCCTTCCGACGGCACTTTCGGCGGCTCCTTCGGCGGCAATCTCGGCGGCCTTTTCGACGGCTCTTTCGGCGACCATTTCGGCGACGTTGCTTTTGCCAACTGTCGACAATGGCTGCCGGAAGCTCGCGGCACTCGGCGACCCCGGCGGGCCCTGAGAGGGCCCCCGAAGGGCCTCGCCAGAAAGCGTCTGCGAAGTAGCTCAAGCCATGCGTGATTTGCACGCGATAGCATGCGCAACGTGCAATGTGAATGCCTCGCATTATACGTCAGCACGCTCTAAGGTGCGTCTGGGAACCACCGCGCGGCAGGGCGCGCCTGCACACTGAAACTCTAAGAAAAACCTCAATTTCGTCTGGAATGGATTTCGGCGCGCGCCCCTTTTCGTCTCCAAAGAAAGAGCCACTATGAAAGATTGATGAGGAGCAGGAAAGGGAAACGGATAAGAGATGAGGATCTTGAGGACGAGGGGGATGAGGCAACAAATGTTGACAACTGCGCGGTACAGAACTACTCCAAGCTGCTTCCACAGACCGGCATCGCGAACAACAGCCTAAACGATATCCAGTCGCAGCGATGGAATTTGCAAAATTCGATTCCTCCTGCTCACTCCTCCTCTTCCTCCGCACCCCTCTTCTCCTCCTCCCCCTCCGTTTGCTTTCCCACCCTCTTCCTCCGACTGTTCCAACCTCCTCCTCCTCCTCCTCCTGTGAGCGTTTTCTCCCTCCAATGTATAACGGTCGTTACTCGGAGGCGGGGGGGGCTCGGGCGGGATGGTCACAGTAACGGTGGCCGCAGCGTGCACCCGCCAAGGTGCGTCCGCGCCACCGGCGCACCAACAGCCCGCATGCACCATAGTCCTGGCGTACACGATAATGCCCAATGCCTGCGTGCAACACACCGCCGCCTCTGTACACCGCACTGCCTTCGTACACCACATCAGCCGCCTGCACCGCAGCACCACGTCGCCCATGTACACCGCAGTGCCTGTGTAATCTGCAGCAGCCGTGTGCGCAACAGCGCCTGCGTCCACCTCGTTGCTTGCGTGCACCACAACGCCTATGTACGCCAAACCGCCTGTGTACAGCACAGCAACCATGTGTACCGCAGCGCCTACGCACGCCACAGGGCCTCCGTGCACCACAACGCCTGTGTACACCAGAACGCCAAACGGGCCAACGAGCACACTAGTAACTTGTGAGGCCTCCTTGCGGGGCTCGCCACAAACCGCGGAGACCTTCAGGACTTGTCATTCATCTCCTCTTCCTCCTCCTCCTCCTCCTCGTTTCGTTTCCGAGCAGCTTGGAACGCGCGCGTGAAGAGACACATGCATGCAAGGTGGAGGCACAAGGAAAAGGACAGTACATGGGCGGACCCTCCTAAAGAGGACGTCAGCGTCGTAACAGCACCCCGCGGCTCAAAGGAGAAAGAGAGACAAGAGGGGGGGACTTATGGCTCAGACCAGCTTCAGACGCTTCCCGGGTCAACGGGCCCTTCAACTGGCTGACCGGAGCATCAGCGTGGTGTGGCTTCTGGCCCTTTCTGGCTCGCTCGCGGGCGTCTCTGGCGTCTTTCCGATCGAGGTCGGCAACAACATCCTCCGGCAATTTGCTGAAAGTCGCCATGACGACAGAGCGGCATTTTTCAGAACGTTCCTCCAAATGGGTCACCACTCTCACGCGGGTGTGGAAAAACTGCATACATGCAGGACAATGGTTGATATCAATCAGGTCGCGCGCGCGGCGCCTTACACCATGCACTGAGAAAGCATGGGTGGCCAATTTCTGTCTCGAGTCGCATGTGTACGAACAAAAGTGGCACGAGAAAATACTGTTCACTTCGGCCATGCGCCGGGTTTTCGCCCACGTCCTCACCTCATTAAACGCACGTTCTTGCCTGGCGTCTTTCAACGCCGCTGTGAAGCGTTTCGGATTGGAGCGGATCACTGGAACCCATTATCGTATGGGCTTGGTTGCGTAGTCAGAAAACGAATCAGAACACGAAGTCAACAAGTCCAAATCAGCAGAAACGGCATGCATCCAAGACCTGCGTACCCCAATGGTGTGGCACAGCGCAACGCACAGAGCACGCGGGGCCTGCAAACACACTCTGCTGAAAAGCCCCACCCGCATGCACAAGATCATAGTCGCAGGTGCGATGAAACACTCATGCTCGGAAATGGATGCGTGAGACGGGCACCGAGGGTCCGTCGAGGCTCCTTTCATCACGGATGAATATACCTGCGTCACAGCTGTGTGGACTCTCGTCAGCTCAGCAGTGTGCAACTGGGGCCATGTGCTCGCCTGGTGCAGACCACGCGTGAACACCACCCCTTGACATAAGGCAAGCCGTGTTTCAACAGGAACAGAACTTCGCTGCAGCACTGTGTAGCGCAATTGCTGGAAAACTCCTCTCAACGCGCCGACTTTGGCTGTGATCTCTGGGTGCATCGAATCCGCGGAACAAGTAAGCGCACCAACGTGCTTGTACTGGGCCGTGGCAACCAGCTGGCGCTGCACGCCGCGAGTCTCGAATTGAATGAGGCCCCCGGCATCGCCGAACAGCTGCCGCTGCGCCTCGCCTGGCCAACGAAACGGAATAATGCTTCCGTCTTGCCCCGTTTGAAATTGACGCGTAAACCATACATGGAGAAAACGTCCTCAAAAATGGTGGCGCGCGCCTTCATTTTATCCACGATCTCGTAAGCCTGCCCAAACAATGGCTGGACGACATCATCCATATGACCGGCTGCGCCAAGTTGCACTGGCTCCGCGGGCCGCCCGTTCGCCGGCTCAACGCCGAACCCGGGGATCAACGGTTCCGCTGGGAGTTCGAACAGCAAACCGGCAGCAGCAAGGCGCAACTCGACAGCGCGGACCACGCGGCTAAAGGCGAGGAGGAACACAAAGTCCCCAAGAGCATTACCAGCAAGACTCCCGGATGTAGTCTGCAGGCACCCTGCGACGCCTTCCATAGCGAACCAGGACTGTCTGTGCAGCTTACTCAGCATCGCGAGATAATGCGTCGTGCCTCCGCTCGCGGTCCAATGCTCGTAGGCACAGAGGCCCTCGACGATTTCCGCGGCGTCCTCGGCAGAAAATCCTGCAGCCAAGAGTCTGGCGACAAATGCGTCCATTGACGCCGGCGGCGCGGGAAAAGCAAGAAGCCTCGCAATGCTAGCAAATGCCGCTTGCAAGTCAACGAACAAAGCACCAAAGGATAGCGTCTTAGCCCTGGCAACGTCCATGCACGCCACCATGTACAGGTGGGCAAACTCCGTTGACCCTCCTCTGAAACCACCTCCAAACTGCAAGTTTGAACTCGTCGCTGCAAGGACGGGCATCCCACGTGGCCGCATGTGGAGGGACAGCGACTTGGACGCCGCCTCGCAAATGGTCACGTCCCTGTAAGACGGGATCTCGGTCATAGCCCCTTTCCCTTTGTATATCTCAAACAGACGCCCCCCTTTCCACTGCAAAGGCGGCTGCAGAGAAACCACTGACTTGAAGACGAGCGGGTGGAACAACCGGGCAGTCTCAAGAGGCGCAGCCATGGACAGTTCGGACCCACTGCAATCTCCAGATATTCCAACCATGGGCCTCATGCGTGCAAAAATGCAAGCAACCTCCGAAATGCTCGGGGCGAGGCCGAAGTCAATTGCGTCAACTGTGCGATCTGCAACGACGAGGTTGTCAATCCGATCTTTCTCTATCAAGTCACGCATGGTAATGTGGCCACCTTGCAACAACATGGCAAAATGCTCGGCTATTTCGCGCTTTGTTTCAGAGGCTGACAACGTGACAGTGCCATCTGCTTTCTTCGCGCATGCTGCCGACTGCTGGGCGGGCTTATAGAGAGGCTTCAGCACATTGAACATGCGCCGCGTCGACACATCGGCCGCTGCACTTTCCAACTCAAGCCGCTTCCGCTCCGCAAAATCGGCAGCATCTTTGTCAAGAGCTTCTCTGAGTTCATTCGACAATTCGTCAATGACCGCGCCGCAAAAACTCCTGTTGAGACAGGCGTCCCAAAACAAGCTGCTACATACAATCCACCAGTGGCGCCGGCCCCCCTCCCGCTGCAGCCGCCCAGGCCCGGAAGACAACGTGGCGCGCTGTTTTATCAAGCAAATGCGCAATGTCCTTACCGAGTGACCGAAACCGTTTCCTAAGCACACCTCTCCGTAAGACAAGGTCAAGCGTGCCCTGGCTTAGTGCGGCATTGCGCTTCACGTGCTTGGGCTTCGGGAAAGCTTGCACCGCCGCGTCTTGCACTTGGGATTACCTGATGAAGGAATGGGAAGTGGGATCAACATTGAAAGGGACTGGCGGCAACTCCGCGAGCAGCTGCCTAAAACGATGCACCTTCATTGGGTCTTCCGGGCCGCGCCTGTCGTACGGCGCCAGCCAGCGCCGCAGCATCGAGCGTGAAAAATTAGGCTGCATCTTGACGCGGGTGCAACTCATGAGGTGATCATCGCGCTCATTTGCCGTGTCATATACATCATCCACGGTATATGAACCCTCAGCGCATTCAACATTACAAGACAAAACAATGTAATCATTCCTGGTCGCACATCCATGTCCTATATATGTGTGATGGGCCGTTCCCCCTGCCCACATGTCCGGCCGCGCAGCGGGGCACCAGAGTCCACAGTCAGACACCCACTGCTCGAAAACAAACGAATTGACCGCATTGCTCGGCAAAGCCTCGCGGCCCCCACCCACGAGGGGCGTTGAGGGCCAGGCCGATGGCACAGTGATGTTCGCATCCATCATCACTAACGCTGGGAGCGTCCGCAACGCTGGTGGCAGTAGCGCCCCAGCCTCCTTCCACCAAGGCATGCACTCCTGGTGTTTCTGATGCGGCGCATGCACCGAAGCAACAACACATCTACACGCGGCCGTTGATACGATTACAACCAACGCCCTTGGACAAGCATGATGAATGACAACGTCATCGATGCGAATGAACACATTGTGAGTTCCTTGCAAGAAAAAAGGGCGAGACGCTGACAAAATAATGGAACGCCCAAGTGACCCATAGATATTGGACAACCCAGCGCTCTGAATCACAATGGATTTCTTTCCGCTGATGCTGTCCTCCACCATCTTCCTCCCCGTGACTTTGCTGCGAGACTCCTGGAAACCCGCAACATGAAACTTCCGAGCCTCAAGCTGTGCCAAGGCAACTTCAAACTTCGCATGCGC